GCCCGAGCTTTTCTAACAACATTTTCAACAGTTCCATGTTTTTAATATGATCAATTGCATTAAAAACTTTCTTAACACTGTACTTATGATCTATGTGTAAATTAACAACTATTTGCCTAGTTGACGCGTCACAACTTTATTTTTGACCGTTTTGATTTGAACAAAATAAAATTTTGAATAGCCGCCAAAATAATAGAAAAGGCCAAAAAAGAAATGTAATTCTCCAATTTAAAAGAAAAAGAACGAGCTATAGATGCTTTTTAAAAAAACTCCTACATGTGTAAGACTATTTTTTTAATTTAAAGTAAGATATGTTTTATATTTTATGCATTTAATGAGTTTTTTTATTTGAGGGGCTATATTATTGCCTGATTGTGTGTATATTTGTTACGAACATTTGTACGTTGAAGTTATACTTTCTTTATTCATAAGAAAAGTTTCTAATTGTATGACCACCACTGTATATCCACAACAATAACCAATCCTTAACACAATCAATAGATTTTATTTTATTTTTATATTTCAAGCATATTAAACTGCTCTAAATAACAATTTCGTTACTCTAGGAGATAATGGAAAGTAGCCTGTGCTGTCAAGTTTAGTTTTAAGTTTAGAAAAACATAACAGAATTATTAGGCCCAAACTCTGCTCAGCTAAACCTTGTTCCCACGAGCACTTGTTCAACGTGCGTGAAAATGAAAAAATTACCGCTCTCTACTTGTATTTTCAACTTTATATCCAAAACCCAGATAAACTTTATATCAATTACAATGAAGCTCAAAAAAATAATTGTCACGCTAAAAATCACCCATTGGTTTATTTTAGCACTTTATCAACGCGCTTTACAAAAAGCACTTAGGCGCACGGAATTTCAATGACAAAGTTAGTTAGGAACAACTGACTACTTTGTCTTGGTAGGTGTTGTAAACAAAACAACTGCGTTCGCAGAAAGAGTAACAATTACTACGTAAAACTTCTTTAGCTTCTTACTGAAGTGAAACTTCTTTAGCTCCATCTGTATGTGTGCGTGTACAATATATACATGTATGTACATATACATATTTCATTTACTAGCTATGAGATAAAGAGAGAAAGAAAATGTGTGCACGCGCTGCTTTCTCTTGCTAAAACTCCTGTTCCCTTCGCCCGCACACACACAACGCATTCGCTAGCTTACCCCCAAAGCCAAGCGTGCGTAAAAAAGTTTCACGTCAAAAATTACGATCTGGTGCATTGACGTATAAAACAAGTAGACTCCCAACCGCCTAACAAATGCACCAAAAAACGAGTTCGAGCGGCGCTGTATTATACATAGAGTTGGGCATTTTTCGGATATTTTTTTATCTATATAATTAATTTTTCGAATAAAAAGTTATTCGTAATATACCTAACCAACTTTTCGCGAATAATTCATTCACGAATAAATTAATCACAGATAAATAGCACAATACGAATAAATTATTATTTTGAATAACGAATAAAATTCATATTGAAAACTGAATCATTTCTATGCGATAAGACAAAGTGATCCACATTGATACCTGGAAGTTCGTGAATAAAAGTGGCACAACAAAGGACTAATTAGAATAAACGCATTTTTTGTTATGTCAATAACATACGAATAAATACCTTTATTCGTCATTCGAATATTTTTTCTACGAATAATTAGAATTATTTATTCGAATATATTTTGCCCATCTCTGATTTATATAGATAGCACTAAAGCCAGAAACATATTAACTCGTCGTGCCGTGTCATGGCACACCAGAAGCACAACGGTTTCATACATTTACTATGGTTAGAGACATATTTACGTGTCGTGTCGACGCTCTAAGCTCTCTTTCCCTGTAACCCATTACAAATGTATGAAACCGATGCGTCAGGACAAGCTACGAAACTTAATGTTTCCGGCTTAACATATTTGTTCCAATTAACATGTTACGTCGTGGCATTAAGCTTCAATTTCAATTGTATACGACAGAGAGTTTGATAACAGTGCGAAAAAACGAACACGTAACTAACGTGCGGGGCGCACACAGAGAGAGATATTATTAATAGAGAACACCAAGATAGTTGCGTTATTTTTATAGTTTTAAGGGACACTTACCTGAAATGCGACTCCATATTTTTAAGTGTGGATCTGGTGTCATTTGCCTAGTTATTAACCGAATAATTTTGTCATTGCGTGGTGTTGTCCACAAAGCGCGATCGTAACAAGACTGTTTGAAACATAACGGTATAAGAATAGAGTAGGGGAGATATAGACTTTACTACAAGTGGAAGTGTCCCTCTAATAGAAAGAGAAAGAAGATGAGGGACCGCTTGCTTTCTCTCTCTAATCGCGCATGCGCATTGGCAACCGTAAGCATCTTACTATTTCGATGTGATACCATTGGATGTCATGCGTCACAAGAGAGAGAGAGATAGCTAGCGATCTCTCATCTTCTTTCTCTTTCTACTAGACGGGACACTTTTAGAGCCGCCTTCCCCAATCTATTCTTATTCCTCTATGGTTTAAAAATTACGCACAATAGGCACGTGGGCGTAATACTGCTGCCGACACTTTAAAGTGCGTTTGTCTACTAGTTTTTATACGTCAATGATCTGGTGTCTCTTTTACTCAACATTTGTTTAAAAGAAATATGTGATTCCAAACTCCAACTGATTGCTATTCATAAAACATTGTCAAACGATGAAGGGCTGTTCAAGTATTCTCACAATCACAATATAAATAATATGCTATCAAACAAGTAAATGTATTAGTCAATACACTAGTACTAATAATTAACTAGTATATATCGTACGCTATACATAATACTAGTAACAAAAGGGATTCGCTAAAACGGCGGATGCCTGCGACACAGCCTCATAAAGAAAATACCAAATATATGTTATAAGATATGGTCATCTTTTAAATGCCCTTAAAACTACTAAATTAGTAAAAATAACGCCAATATTAATATAAAAAAAGCTTGACCAAAAATGAAAATATTTAAAGCCTGTTCAGTTCACGTTCTCGGTAGCCAAGTTGGATAGTAAAAGGTGTATGAGTTGTCCAAAAGGAAATAAGGAAATCTTACATTGATAATTCAAAAAAATTAAAATACTAATAAAATGATCTTCTCTGGCTGGTCCATAGCACAGAACACATAGAGGTTAGAAGGGTGATCATAGACTGTTTGTACGGGAACCGATGTCGCCGGCTTGCCCTCACTACACTTCCACCTAATAGATAATAGATTCCAATCTAACGACGCGACATAAAACAATCGAACCAATCAGCGCTCACAAACGAGAGCAACGACGCAATCAGAACCAAGTTTTGGTCAAGTTTTAAGCATTTGCTCTTTCGGTTCTGTGGTCCATAGACAGTGAATAAACGGAACGTCCCCTTTCCAACTGTGAAGTTAAGCTGGGAAGATAGTGTGAGAGTAACAAAAGTAAATAAAAGACAACTGTTGAGTTGTAGGGGCTCAATGTCAAATTTTAACTGTTCACAATCGCCTTAAATAAAAGCTAGTGTCAATGTGACCAAAAAACTTTTCACAATCGAGTCCCTGGCTTTAATAATAGACGGTGGATGATAAATGATATTTATATATAAATAATAGCACATATAAATGATACCAGTCTTGAGCTAATCACGATCACGTCACGAAGCCTGTGATACCATTTTCTTCAATCCGCTAACATAAATTATTTCAAACGTCCAAATGAAACTTACCGTCATATTATGAATCTTAATGGTTTTATAGAAAGACACAATGAAAACAACTTATAAAGGTAATTATCAAATAAATTTCACATTTTCCAAAAAAATGATTATATTTTTATAGCTTGAACAAACTATTAAAATATAAATAAAATGAAATTTTGAGGCATCTAAAAACGCCACTACTAAGATATTATACAGTGATCTTTCAACGCGTATCTGTAAAAGTACCATTATAATTTTAACAAACAGTGGTCCATGAATCGACCACATCAGTATGGTGAACCGGATACCGTTGTGTGAAATGAACGTAAATGATATTATCATAGCAATGTTTTTATTAAGATTTCAACATTATATGATTTTGTCAAGCTTTTTCAAGACAACATTTTTTATAAGATCTCTCACAAATAACACAAAAAGGCGACTTGCGTTTGATGCAAACGGCAGTGGGTAATGGTATAAATACAATAAAAAAACTGCTTATTTGTGGCGAACATTGGGTTTATTTATATCACAAATTTTCTAAAAAAGAGACTGCCCGCAGCGCCGTTAATTTCTATCAACATTATGCTCTGATAGGCATTAGTATCACATTCCATTAATAAATTGTCCACGACTCACTGTCCAATCCGACTATCTCTTTTGACACCTTTCCACCATTGAAATTTCTTATTAACCTTTATGCAAGGCGAGATGCCTTACGAGATTCACATTAGACACCGCAGACGAAGAAGTGAGCGTTCGATCGCTTAAGGGCGAAAATAGCTTGAATCCAATCCCAATAGTGGGAGGTATCGACTTCTTTTCTTTTTCTTCGGCGACGGGTAAGGAAGTATAACGCTGATTTTACAGCAATAGAACGAATTCTCTACGAGGGCCAGTTAGAAAATACTTTAAATCTAGACACTGATTTATTTACACAATGAAAGTGTTCATAAAACTTTGATGTATTACTGCTACTGACAAATATAGGATTTGAGCATAATGGAAGGAAACAAATAACACTATTATTTATTTGTGGTCATGTTGCGTGATTTTAGAGTCGCTTTTAGTTGACGAATAATAAAACGGTTCTTGCTTTTTTTATTTTTGAATAACAAATAAAGCCCTTATATTTTGCATAATGGGCAAAGTATAACATTTGAAAGTGAAATAAATAAAATTTCCTAAATAGAGATTCTTAATAAAAAAATCGAAAATGTAAAGTTATAAAATTATGCCTTTTGAGATGATCTTGTCAATTCGTAAAAATAATACAAATAAATAATAGTAAAAATAAAAATATGTTATTCTTAGAAACAACTTGCCAAACAACTCAATACGAAAAGAATCATAATGAAAAAGCGAGTGACGACTGGCATGCAGTCAATTTATTAATTTAAAAATATTAAATACAAAGCGATTTTTATACAAGGCGCATGGAGTTCATCTGATTAGTACACATTGAAGTCACAGATATGGTAGAAAAATGTGCTGCTCCAGCAAATTTCTTCTTTCTGATTTAAACCCAATCTACCCCATGGAGTCCTGAAACCTTGCACACCGACAGAAACACACCACAAAAAGTAATGTTATTTCACTGTGCTTTTCTGTAAGTTGCAGTTCTCTTCACCAGACGGGTGCTCTTATCCTAGCGGGAAATCCACTTTGATTAGAGAGAACTTACTTGTTTCCTTCTACTATGTTTTTGGTCAAAATCTGTATTCCACAAGTCATCGATAAATTATTTATTCTTAGTAATTTTCCATCTATTCTACATAGGAATTCCTTTCCATAACGTTGTAAAAGAGACTTGGAATACGTTGCTTATTGATTATGATGGAATTCGTATAACTACACTATTACTCAATAACTACTCACACAGACGACGACTATGTAGATACAAACCTTGCTTAGAACTCGAAACCGTTTATCGAAATGCAACTATTGTGATGTTATGAATCGGTACATGTAGCTGAGAGTTTCATTTTTTTTTCTTTAGTTGGCATATGTAGCCTTTGGATGCGAAGCGGCGTCTGCAAACGAAATAAAGCCTTATACCCGCGTCGTAAGTGCCAATGTGCGGTACAATAGAGATAGTCGGCCCAACAGCGTTGAAGCTTATGCTGAGGGGTCGAGTAGCGTCTAACTATTTGCGTATCTTCGCCGCGTTGTCAGCGTTTTCTTTCAGGATTTTAGATTTCAGGTGGTCCTTGTATTTCAATATGCCGCCTTGCCATTTTGTGACGGTGCCATTCTCGCAGATCCAAATCTCCTCAGCGACCTGTAATAAAAGAATGTATTACAAAATGCTAGACAAACACACATTTCCAATATGATTAGGAGTTTAGGGTAGTACACAGTACGAGAAGTTTTGGAAAGTGGCAGGTAGAACTGCTGTACCAACTATCTTCACGTCTGCACTTCACCGTCACTTAATATCAGGTGGGATGGAGTCAGTGGTCGGACCTAACTATAAAAAAAAACACTAGACATACATCTAAAATTAGCGACTTTTTAAAGTACAGTACTTACATCATACATTTTAAGTGATATTTAAATAAACTATGTATTTTTATGAATAGTAGACAAATGACTCTATCCCACCCTAATGTTAAGTGACAATTGAGTCCAGACGCGAAGTTAGCTGGCGGTAGTATTACTCGCCATACCAGCCATTTGCACTTTGCCGGTCCTTGTTTCGCATTCGGAAGACTTGTAAACGTCTTCACGACCACAAAAACATACCAAAAGGGAGACCAATGGTCTAACAGATGAGCCATCAATCATGATGAGCCTGAAGTTGTGGCTGACGAGCATCATGCCGCCATCGAAGTCGTTGACGGCGTCGGCGAGCGCGTCAATAGTTTCCATGTCGAATTGAGTTTTGTTTGTGGAGTGTAATGTGGGACATTACCTGGTTGATGAGCCTGAAGTCGTGTCTGACGAGCACCATGCCGCCATCGAAGTGGTTGATGGCGTCGGCGAGCGCGACAATGGTCCATGTCGAAGTGGATGGTGATGTGGGACAGTACCTGGTTGGAGGAGGAACCCCTGCCTCCGGCAGGCGAGGAAACAGTATTGGGTTTATAGTAGGTACCCCCCCCCCTCATCTGAGGGGAGGAGTCCCACATAACCCGTCTCTCACCTAGGGGCGGGTTAAGCGTCACGCATTTTCCAAACAATAAAAAAAAAGGGACGGTACCTGGTTGATGAGCCTGAAGTCGTGGCTGACGAGCACCATGCCGCCGTCGAAGTCGTTGATGGCGTCGGCGAGCGCGTCGATGGTCTCCATGTCGAGATGGTTTGTGGGTTCGTCAAACAACAGAAGATGCGGCGTCTGCCACGCGAGCCACGCGAATACCACGCGGCAACGCTGCCCGTCCGACAGCTGGCGCATAGGGCAAACCTAAACATTAAATAGTATATTGTTCACTGAGGGGAGAAAGTGACCGATTACCAACGAGGGTGTAGTTTGAGGCCCATAGCCCAGCCTAGGGCCTTAATACATAATTGGGATTAGCACATACTTGCGAGAGGTACACTACTTCAAACAGCAAACAGTATAAATGTTGATGAATGACCACTTTTCGAAACATAAATAAAAAAGAAATAAAAAAAAACGAGTGTGTTTATGACCTCACGACTCAAGTGTAACTTTTTAGCTCCATTTGTGTTACATATATATGTGTGTACAATATATACAAGTATGTACATATACATATTTTATTTACTAGCTATAAGAGAAAGAGAGAAAGCAGAGCGCGCGCACTGCTTTCTCTTGCTTATATCCCCCACTCAACTCCCGTTCGCCTCGCCCGAACACACTTTTCGTAACGCGTAACGCATTCGCCAGCTTACCCCTCAAGTCAAGCGTGCGCAAAGATATTTCACTTCAAAAATCAGCACATTAACAATGAATATAGACGAGTAGTATTAGGATTGATATCAGGATTTTCCTGCAACGAAAAGCGGTGAGAGACGGCAGTCGCTTGCCCGCTGAAGTATACTTCTACTATATGTCCCAGCACACATTTTTTATATTCTGTCTGCATAATTCACTGCCGTTGCCGTACGTATCGCTTTAAAATACACGCCAAAACGACACTACAAAGTACGTACCTGCCGCGCTCATGTAGTCAGCTCAGCACCAAGCGTCTTACTGCACACATTGTTGTTACGTAACAGACACTCTCGCGCAGTTTCAAGCAGAATTTATTTGCGACTAGCGATAGGCGTTGTCGAGGATGTACAGATACAGTACAGTAAAGATGGCTACTGATACATGTATTTACTAGTATGTAACTACTATTGGAGTCATATTAAATGTAAATTAAGTTTTCATCATCGCATCGCTTTCGTTAATAAAAATGAGAAGAGTGAAATGTTGGGAGAATGTGCAGGACAGCAACAGTCATTCACAGCGCTCTTTTAAGTCGCCGAGAAACCACCTTTTGGGAGTACGATGTGCAGCGCGAACGAAATCTCAAAAAACCGGCTAAGTGTGAGTCGGACTCGCGCAACGAGGGTTCCGTACAAACTTAATTTAATACCTCTATGCGTTCATAAGAAAAGAGGTAATAACTTAAAATATATATAATATATATATATGATGTAACTAAAAATTTACGGATTTCGCAATTTTTCCTTTATCTATAAGTTCACGGGAAGTACCCTGTAGGTTTTGATTCCCGTGCGATTTCGAAAATTTGCGGCATAAACGGCTGTATCTTTTGATTGCTTTGGCTTAGAAGTTTGATTTTTTCACATCTCCAAAGGACAGTAGACTTGAGTATTAGATATGAATTTCAGTTTGATACCTCCACGCGTTCCTGAGAAAATCTGTCTTGACAGACGGACGGACGTACAACAAAGTAATCCTATAAGGGTTCCGTTTTTTCCTTTTGAGGTACGGAACCCTAAAAATGAATAAGAAATCATTTATAAAAGAAGAAACTATGATATTGTCACCTGTTGCCGGCCCGTGAGTCCGTAGCGACCGATGATCTTGCGCATCTCTTCTCGTTCGCGGACTTCGGGGAACATCTTCATCATGTAGTCCAGCGGAGACAGATCCAGATCTAACAGTTCGTGCAGGTGCTGGTGGTAGCGCCCGATGCGAAGATGGGAGTTCTTCCGAATCATGCCCGTGGACGGCACCAACTGGACAAGTACGTAGTATTAATTTTAATATATAAAACATTGAAAATTGTTTCTATTTTCGCTATTTGAAATCATCGAACTGAAGTGTGCCCCAAACAGATTACGAAAGGCAATCATATTTGATCTTTAATGAATTCGATTTTAGACTTTTCTCATACAAAAATTATCATCCTCATCATAGGGTATTTAGACTTGTCTCATACAAAAATTATCATCTTCATCAAAGGGAATAGAGGTATAGTAAAAAATTGGAATTTATCAAATGTATTCTTTTTGCTAGCGTTGTAGCACACGCCTGACATGACATATGTTATATAATCTGTGAATTAGGTGTTGGAAAATTACAGTCTAATAAGAAATTTAAACAATCTGTTAGGACTCGATAGTCTGGTAGTCAGAGAATTCATCTTATAATTAGAGTTAATATTATGATCAGTACGTATAACTCACGTCTCCATAAAGCAGCTTAAGCAGTGTAGATTTGCCAGCACCATTGGGGCCCACTAAGGCGAGCCGCGTGTCTAGATCTATACCGAACTCGAGGTTCTTGTAGATCCATGGTCCGTTGTCCGTGTAACGAAACGATACGTTCTGCAAAAGAGAGAAGAGATGTTAGTTAAAAAGAAATTTTGTTCATATCTATACATACAGGATGGCCGGGGAGTTGACGTTCAAGCTTAAAATTTAGATACTTTATGATGAGTAGTATCCAAATCACCCCCATGTATGTTCTACGATTTTGCGTAGTTTTCGAGTAATATTTTTTTTAATGATTTTTTGCGTAATTTTCAGCTAACATCAGTTTTCGATTTTTTACTTATTCTGTTGGACGTTTCTGGTTCAGTTTTTTTGTGATAACTGACTAACATAGTCTAACCTAGCACCCTAAAATTTATGGTTTATCTAGGCATAGCAGAATTTACTTAGAATTTGTTCGAAAGTTCAAAATTACGATTTGAACTCAGTACACACAAATTTTCGAAGTATCAAAAAAATGTAAATGGGGGGATTTTGAGTTCAAAGTGCTTTTAGAAACTTCCTGCAACATTGAACTTTAAAACAAGGCCAAAAAAGATAGGGTTAATGGGAGTTTATTTTCTGTAACTGAACTTCAAAGTAAATTATGGCATTTTTCAAGGGAAAAAAATAATTATTATTTTCTTTTATTTAAAACTTTGCCTTTCTATGAGTTATGATAGATTTGAGTAAAACACAGTTCTTAATGACCTAAATTCTAATTCTTAGAGTTTCTAGATGCATAAATTTAATTAGAAACACAGGTATGATTTTATTGTTGTGATTTTAACCATGAAAAAAAGGTACTTATAAAAAAAAAAAAAAAAAAAAAAAAAAAAAAAATAATAATCAGGCGGGAATCTCTGTGGGGGCGCGTGGATGAATGGATGGAGTTTGACAGTTGTTGAATTTTGAATAGTCTTTCCCAGATCGATTTGAGTCCTCATTATCGGGTGCTGTTTTTAATCGATTTTGAATTTTACTCGAAATTGAATTTCCTCGCTGATTCGGGTAGGTATTCCCTTTTCCTCAGCTTACGGCGAGCGTAGGTATATAGTTTTGAGTTTATTCTTCGGTTCGTCTCGAATGCGGCGGCTGTCTGTTTGACTGTGGCCTTTGCCTTCAGTTGAAGTGGGAAACAAATCATAGACACATGTTTGGGAGTAGCCGATCCGTCTATCATCTATGAGGAATTGTCAAAACAACTTTTAAAATTTCACAATCTGTTTGTGGTACAGTTAACTTTTCATCTTTTCTTCTGCCCAAAGTATAATAAACGGCATATTATTGTCGTCGAAGTCGTGAGATAGATCCGAAAAGTTTATATCCCGAGGGATATTGGCGGAAAAAGCGCGGAGTCGCTAACCGAACTGAGTTTCGTAGGTGGACGAACACGAACCTTCGCAAGGCAATTGCAACAATAAGGCGGTAACTCGTGATAGGAAACAAAATACTTACGGATAGTTTCATATTTCGAACGGCTTGTACGTTCCCCTCAAGAAATACTGGAGGACTAACAAGGAGACTTTTGTTCTGTGCACGGACCAGAAGGGGCGCGGGAGTTTATTTGCCAGTCGCTCTCCGGTTTTATGTAACCCGGCCGAACAGCAGACAGATTATACACAGCTTAACCTATCATAATCAAGGTATTTCTCTACTAACCCCGGGTGAACGTGAAAAGGAAACAACAGGCGAGGTTGGACCCCGACTTACCCATTTCCATATATAAACATATAGCTATATAACTGGTTATCTCACTGAGAACTAGAATTAACTAAGTTTGTCACCAATATCGATCAAACGAGCCGTAGAACCTCTGAAATCCACTCAATAGCTTATTCAGTCTAGTCTATGTGGTATTTGTGGATAAAATATATTAGTAAGGATTATATTGTAAGTACATGGTAAAGTGTTATGAATGTTTGATATTCATATAATTATAACCTTTCATGACAACTTGTTGGTTTATATACACATTAACTTTGAACTACTGTATTCAGCTTAGATATTTATAATTAGTGAAACATAGTTATTATATAAATAATAAACATAGTTAGAATTGTTGATTTATATAAGCAATAACTTAAATCTACTGAAGTCCTAGGCTTTGGTATCTAAAGTGGATAAAATATACTTATAACATTATCTTAATTTTTTGGTTTTCTTTTATTGTTCCCCCGGTGCTCTGAGTGGGCTAAAGGAGGGCTGTTGAAGAGAATTTAACATCACAAGTCCATTTGGGTCCTGTGTATTGCCCTCAGGTTAACACTGTCGAACGTTATAACCGTACTGTCATCACTGCGGTGGCCTCGTTCGTTGAAAATGACCATAGATCTTGGGACGTGAATATTCATAAGATCCAGTTCGCTATGAACACCTCTGTGAACGAATCCACGTCATATACTCCGTTTATGTTAGTTCATGGTAGGGAGGCTGTTACCGATGGTAGTATTTATGCCGGTTTCAACGATCTTGACGAGTTAGTGATAGTACCCCGGGATACTCATGCGTCTAATCTGGGTCATTTAGGTGAAATCTTTAAAGAGGTCAAGGACTCACTGCGAAAAGCCCACGATAGGAACGTTAAATATTATAACAGGCGTCGTAGGGATATTTCCTTTAACGTAGGCGATTACATTTGGAAACGGACGTATAAACAAAGCGCGGCTCATAAATACTTTTCAGTCAAACTTGCACCGAAATATGAACGTTGCAAAATAATCCGTAAACTCTCCCCACTCGTTTACGAGCTCGAAGACGAAAACGGGAAGTATGTAGGCAAATGGCATATAAAAGATTTCAAAAGCGCTGACCCCGAATAGATATTTAGGTAGGGACTTATCGCCGTGGATGTGGCGGCCGACGAATACCCATTCCGCCTTCTGCCCGGCGTGACGTAGAAATCGTCAATGGGTCTTGGTATCACACTGCATCTTAGATACCCATGTGTGTGTTCGTCCCCGATAGTGTGATCTCTTTGTTTGCCACCTAATTAATGCTTAAACCCTTAATTGTCTCTTAACTTTTCCAGGAGAAGATTTTGTTAATGTGCTTGTTAGTTTTTTACCTACCAAGGCATTTTATTGAAGTTGCTAATACAAATGAAAACGTATTAACAACAACTTTTATCATAATATCCTATGATGAGCATAGAATATTTATAATATTTTTTTTATTTCTCTCGGGAGACAGTAAATGAGACACACGATGGACGAACACACAACATGCAATTTTGTGAGCAAATCGCCTTTGACCAATAACATCTCTTTGGTTAATTTTCTACCATTATGTTTTTCGCGGTATAACTGGTAACATTATAATTTTTTTTTTATTATATCTATTTTCGGAGCAAAGATGCTTGCGGTACGGCCTTGAGTGGTATACACGTTGTGTTACTATTGTCATTTATTATTATCTATTTTTGTTACAACTTAGAGATTTATCAATGATTTATCGTTCTGTATGTTTATTTTTTCTTAACTTAGCGGTTTATAATATTCTATTATTTTATACAACATAACCTAATCATATCTTAACTAAAGTACATAAGACATGGGGATATACGAACGAGGGCGTTCGACGAATTCCCTACGTGAATTCTGCCGTGAGTGGGGGGATACTGTAGTGTTTGTTTTTAAACAGAGCGTGACACTGACACACGTAGGACAGCTGTTTTGTCTATGATAGCGAACCGCTTACGTCAGCGTAGCTGTCAAACTTCATTGATTGGGTTGGTAGCCTTGAGGGAAGAGTCGATTTTCCTATTCGACTAAAATATTCGCCTTGAGACTTATAAAAAAAAAAAAAAAAAAAATAAATAAATAAAAATAATAATCAGGCGGGAATCTCTGTGGGGGCGCGTGGATGAATGGATGGAGTTTGACAGTTGTTGAATTTTGAATAGTCTTTCCCAGATCGATTTGAGTCCTCATTATCGGGTGCTGTTTTTAATCGATTTTGAATTTTACTCGAAATTGAATTTCCTCGCTGATTCGGGTAGGTATTCCCTTTTCCTCAGCTTACGGCGAGCGTAGGTATATAGTTTTGAGTTTATTCTTCGGTTCGTCTCGAATGCGGCGGCTGTCTGTTTGACTGTGGCCTTTGCCTTCAGTTGAAGTGGGAAACAAATCATAGACACATGTTTGGGAGTAGCCGATCCGTCTATCATCTATGAGGAATTGTCAAAACAACTTTTAAAATTTCACAATCTGTTTGTGGTACAGTTAACTTTTCATCTTTTCTTCTGCCCAAAGTATAATAAACGGCATATTATTGTCGTCGAAGTCGTGAGATAGATCCGAAAAGTTTATATCCCGAGGGATATTGGCGGAAAAAGCGCGGAGTCGCTAACCGAACTGAGTTTCGTAGGTGGACGAACACGAACCTTCGCAAGGCAATTGCAACAATAAGGCGGTAACTCGTGATAGGAAACAAAATACTTACGGATAGTTTCATATTTCGAACGGCTTGTACGTTCCCCTCAAGAAATACTGGAGGACTAACAAGGAGACTTTTGTTCTGTGCACGGACCAGAAGGGGCGCGGGAGTTTATTTGCCAGTCGCTCTCCGGTTTTATGTAACCCGGCCGAACAGCAGACAGATTATACACAGCTTAACCTATCATAATCAAGGTATTTCTCTACTAACCCCGGGTGAACGTGAAAAGGAAACAACAGGCGAGGTTGGACCCCGACTTACCCATTTCCATATATAAACATATAGCTATATAACTGGTTATCTCACTGAGAACTAGAATTAACTAAGTTTGTCACCAATATCGATCAAACGAGCCGTAGAACCTCTGAAATCCACTCAATAGCTTATTCAGTCTAGTCTATGTGGTATTTGTGGATAAAATATATTAGTAAGGATTATATTGTAAGTACATGGTAAAGTGTTATGAATGTTTGATATTCATATAATTATAACCTTTCATGACAACTTGTTGGTTTATATACACATTAACTTTGAACTACTGTATTCAGCTTAGATATTTATAATTAGTGAAACATAGTTATTATATAAATAATAAACATAGTTAGAATTGTTGATTTATATAAGCAATAACTTAAATC